CCCTGTCCCCCCCCCGCCCCCCCCCCCCCCCCAATTCTCCAATATTTCCCAACCCAGAGCTGGCAGTTTTTACATCTCTAACAAAACAGTATCTTTTTTTTTTTTGCTTAGAAGACTTATAGCTTACCCCATGTTTTCCCCTTTGTTTTATCCTCACAACCACCTTGCAAGGTAGGTTAGGCTGGAACTGTGCCAGGTTGGCCCAAGATCGACCGCAGTGAGTTTCCATAACAGAGTAGGTAGAAATTGTATTTGAACACAGATTCTCTTGGGTCACAGCTCATTCTTTTAGCTCCTAATCTATACCATACAGCTGTAACTGTTTCGTTTCTAACTGTTCTAATACAAGTGGCTAAGAAAATGGATAAAGATTCATAATTTATATTTAAACTGGATTTTAATAAATACTGCAGGTTTTTCTTGGCTTAATCAATGTTTGTATGGATCTGAATTTGGTTATTTTAGGGTCACTTTGAAGTATTACTGCCTGTTTTGGGATCTAACTCAGCATAGGTTTAGAAATGAATATTATAACAAATGGCTTGAGTTGTAATGATTTTTTTAAAAAAACCTTAACTGGTGCTTAGGCTCAAGTTGTGAAATAACTATACTTTATCCTCTGGTACACAAAATAAAACTCTGGGTTAACTTGGTGTAAATTTTGTAAACTGAACATATGGCATCCATTAAAAATGTCTTTATATAGTGTGTTCATTATTAAAAGAATATTTCTTTTTAGATAGGACAAAAATGAGCAAACAAGAAAACAACTAAACAGAAACAGGTTCCAGTAATTAATAGAAAGCAAATGGAAAGACTCAGTTGTATACGTTATCTTTCTAGAACACAATAAATGTTATCCATCACTCATTTAAATTGTCTGAATGTTGTCGATGATTTCTTAAGGACCTCTGATAATTTTAACAAGTAATAGGCCAAATACAATTAAGGCAGTGATTTCTAGAGGGAGGTTCTGGCTTTCTCCAGTTTGCAGCTGTTACCATTTCAGCAGCTGTGTCTTAGCTCAGAACCAACCAATATACGTACTTTCTTAGATAACCTGTTCATAGTATTCCGGACCTCCATTACCTCTTAGTAATATTCCTATTAATGAACTGAACTATATATTGCCCAAAAAGTTGAACTTTAGAGCATTTCCAGAAGATATGGAGCAATTTAGCATACCACACCTCCAAAAATGATCATGGTTGTTTCTGTATATGACCACTAGTTTAGGAAGGGTTAAGTATGTACCACTGAAATAATTTTTAAAAATCTATCAGATTTACAGAAATCAATTTAGGGATAACCATAACAAATCTGGTATATATTGTCAAATGACTATTGGTTTCTCTTGTAGGGAATGAAGAAAAAGAGATGTTCCCTGCAGATGTTTCCTGATAATCTGTGTTGCTTCACAGCCAGTGGACCTTTCTCTCTGAAGAGATCTAGTTTTTTGTGAACCCTCTGCATGGGATGGCAAGGGGTTTTCTGGCACAAACGGTTACAGTAATTTCTCTTACATTTTCTGCTGTTACTGCTCGGTCTTCTTACTGCTGCTATCTCTACCCGTTATTCCAGTCAGCCAGGAATCAAGCCATCTGGTATATATATTTTTGGCTAAATACTACTGTTTGTGTTTCTGTTTTCCGCATGGATAAATGTATGGTTGCCACCTGCCTAAGGAAAAAAAATCCTGCCCTTTTAACAGAGGCTTAATGTGATGTTATTTACTATCATGCCATGGAAAAGCTCGGCTGCCTATTTCCATGCCTTAAGCCTCTGTTAAAGAGATGGGACATTTTTTTCTCCAAGAAGCTGACAAAGTCTAAGCCCGCATTCAGACGTCATGATAAACATTGGTTTGTTCAACCAATTCTGGTTAGTCTATCAGGTCTAAGCAATACACTGTGGTTTGTGTTTCAGTTCTGGTTTGTCTTCTTGGCTCTCTTGCACCTCCTGTCCGCCAAGATATGCTCCCTATACTGCAATCAAGGCATGATAGGTGCAACAGTAGGTGCTACTGAACAATTTTTTTAAAAAAAAAATACAGATGGTATAACAAGCCCGAGTTATTACAAATTGTGGTCAGGAGAGTCGGTTTGGTGTAGTGGTTAGGAGGGCAGACTCTAATCTGGGAGAACTGGGTTTGAGTCCCCACTCCTCCACATGCAGCTGCTGGTGTGACTTTGGGTCAGTCTCGAGTTCTCTCAAGAGCAGCTCTCGAAAGAGCTCTCTCAGCCCCACCTACCTCACAGGGTGTCTGTCGTTGGGAGGGGAAGGGAAAGGAGATTGTAAGCCACTCTGAGAGTCCTTTGGGTAGTAAGGGCAGGGTATAAATCCAATCTTCTTCTGGTTAACAAATTATCTACAAACCATAGTTTGAAGACACTGGTTTGATCACAACCAGTAAATTCAAGTTTGAATTCAGACATCCCCAACCAAGTAGGATTTTTCCTGGATTTAAAAGGTAGGAGAGGGGTCCCCACTAATCACCAAAAAGGCTATTCTGGGAGTCATGGGATTTCTGGACAAAATCCATGTAGAATGTGGGCTGTAATAAGGACACAGGTGAGATAGAAAAAAAGCTGGCTGGCTCCAGCTCATGTTTATTGTGGTGTCGGAATGCCGTCTGAGCTGTGGCTGTCGTAGGTGCTTATGAACAGCTTGTGTGATTATTGCTAGTGATTTCTCTATTGCAATGTCATGCATCTAAAAACGTGCATCACCCCCCCCCCCCTTTGGAGACCTACTTGAGGAAGTTCACAACATAAATTAACATGAAAACAAAATTGTCTGTGCTTGGAGCCATTTACTAAAGAGTCCTCATTGCTTTTTTCCATCTTTCACCCAAGAAGTATTATGAGAGTTTCATTGTGCCATCCCTGTAGAAACCCCTTCCATTGCATGCAGTTGTATTGTTGACATTCACAGTATGATGAGGCTGCTGTCTTGCTGGCAATGCATAAAGGCAGTTCTCACCACTGCATCAGTGGCCCCGCTCCCTGGACACTGTTTTACAAGTTTGTTGCATAGCTTAAGCCACTTACCAACTATTGATATTTATTCAGGCTGCTGACAGTACTGTATGTAGTCCAGTGACTGGTTAGTAGGTGACCATTTTCCAAACCATACATCACATGCTAAAAAGAACATTTCATCAAGATTTTTATCCTCTCTTATGTATAACTACTTCTTTCTTACAGCTCACATTCAGGAAGACACCGGTTCCACAGTAACACTGCTAGAATGTCTTGTTATAAACATCCAAAAGAAAATTTACACAACAAAGCTAGGACATCCCCCTATCCAGGATCAAAGGTCGATCGCAGTGAAGTGCCCAATAATAAGGTGGACTGGTCGACCAGATGGGAGGACTATAGTCCCGTTGAATACACTGCACGCTCTGTTCTGGCAGGACCTCAGTGGGCAGATCCAGAGATTGGGTGAGTATTGTTAGTTGAGAAGCAAGTTGCGCTGAGAGGGGGAGATCTTGCTTCTGGAGGGCTGATGCCCTTTTGATTGACTTAAGAATACGGCGGTGTACTATCCATGGAGACTAAAAAGCATCCTCCAGGTTCAGAGGCAGTACATGTCTGAATGCCAGTGGATGGGTGATGATAGTAAGGGGGGGAGGGAAGGGAGAGGCTTTGGCCCCTGTGCCTCTGCTGTGGGTCTTCCAGGGCATCTGGTCAGCCACGGTGGGGATTCTCCCTGGTGATGCAGCCAGTTTGCACTGCTTGATCTCTGCTTAGATGCCCCTGATACAAGCGACATATTAGATGGCAAATGATTACCTGCTTAGATGCCCCTGGTACAAGCGACGTAAAGGTAAAGGTTCCCTTGCTCGAAAGCCAGTCGAATCCGACTCTAGGGTTGCGGTGCTCATCTCCGTTTCCAAGCCGAAGAGCCAGCGCTGTCCGAAGACGTTTCTGTGGTCATGTGGCCGGCATGACTAAACTCCAAGGCGCACGGAACGCTGTTACCTTCCCACCGAAGTGGTACCTATTTATCTACTTGCAATTTCTTGCTTTCGAACTGCTAGGTTGGCAGGAGCTGGAACTAGAGACAGGAGCTCACCCCGTCTTGCGGCACCTGGGTCTTGAACTGCTGAACTACTGACCTTCCACAGCCTGCAGTTCAGCGTCTTAACCACTTGAGCCACCGCAGCTCCACCACAAGCGACATATTAGATGGCAAATGATTACATTATATAAAGATACAGACAAACTAGTTTTGACCCCCATGTGCTTATGAGTAGTGCATGTTAATAAAAGTTAAAGTTGCATGAAATATGACTCTTTATCTTTGGCCGGGTGATTGACAGTCTTTTGCTGTAGGTTAACTTTTTTAAAAAAACAAACCAGTAGTTATTACTATTTTTTAATGTCATCTGGCATCGGTCCAGTCTTGCTTCACTGCAAGGAATGTAGGTTGCCCCCAGCGGTGCAGAGTTGGAGTATGATGTGGAGAGCAGTCGTCATAGATGACATACGGTGACAGATAGTACTTTAAGAACATGAGCCTCGGCACAGTGAATATGCTAGTCTTTTTTGTTCTGTCAGTGAAACAGCTTGTGCACACACAGATGCCAGAAATAGGAAAAGAAATAGTAAATGCATCATACATGTGAGGCAAAGCACCCTGATTCCCCCTTCAAGGGGCAGGCATGACATCAGCAGGGGCAGGCATGACATCGTCATAGATGACATACGGTGACAGATAGTACTTTAAGAACATGAGCCTTGGCTCAAGGCATAGTGAATATGCTAGTCTTTTTTGTTCTGTCAGTGAAACAGCTTGTGCACACACAGATGCCAGAAATAGGAAAAGAAATAGTAAATGCATCATACATGTGAGGCAAAGCACCCTGATTCCCCCTTCAAGGTTTAAAGCGATTATTAGCAGGTCTAATTTCTTTTGGATTGCCATTTTGTGTTGCAGGTGTCTGTAATTAGGCCTCCCTGCCTACATCATCCTTATCTCCAAGAATGTAGTAATGGGGTATTGTGAGAACCTTTGTTCAGTTCTGTAACTAGGTGGGAGGGGGAAGCAGGAGTGGGTGTCATTCTAAGCCTTCATCAAGCAAGCTCCCTGATTGGGTTGGGGAGACCACCTGATGCCAGATGGCTAAAGACTGTAATTAAGTGGTAGACAAGAGAGAAGCCATGCTAACCTCATGATTTGACCGGGCAGTGGCTTTGACTGTGCCAAGCCCCATCGCGATGGACTGCTATGTAGACAATGCTTAAGCCTCTAACTTGGACTCTGTTGGCCTTAAAGGTGCCACTGGACTCTGATATTCTAAAAGGTGTGCCATCTAATACCAGGTATTAGATTAGTATTCAGGTGGGGTAGCCGTGTTGGTCTGCAGCAGCAGAACAAAGTCGGCGCCCAGCGGCACCTTTAAGACCAACAAAGTTTTCTTCACGGTATAAGCTTCCGTGTGCAAGCATGCTTCCTCAGATACAGTGGAAGCATTAGTGAAATATTAGACAGAGAAGTTGGCTTTTCTTATTTTCTTGCTGCAGGATTGTAGAGTCTGTGTTGCCGAGTGATAATCATATTTCTTAAGGTATTTAAGAAACCTTCGTATAATTCACCAAGGTCTGGTTTCTTGTGTAGATAACCTGGAGGGCCCACAGGTCTGAATGCTGCTCCTTTGTGGCTCAGAGGGACCCAGGCTTGGGTTCTTGACAATGCATAACATCTTGATAAACCTGTAGTACTTCTCCTCTTGCAGACATCCTGCCAAAGCAAAGCATCTCTGGCATATATAGCTCCTCTGGCCCCTCGATTGCCACACGAGCTGTCCCCAAGAACTGGCTGAGAAACTCATGCCAAGGCATAGGGCGGGCCTTGCAAACACAGGACATATTAGCATAATTCAGTAGGGAAGCATAGAGAGCACAGCCATTTCAACAGAGCACAGCCCATTCAACACAACACAGCCCATTCGACGCAGAAACGTTCTGTACACAGTAAAGCTGCCGAGTCGTTTGAAGGGTATGATGCTGGGAGAAGCAGAGGGACAGGAGAGGGACAGCTAAGGCACTGAGCTCTTGGCTTGCGTGATCCTAAACACACTTAACTGGGAGATTACGTTCCAGTGAAATAGAAATGGGGTTAGGATTAAGGATACTGGTAATCAACGTTGGCGATCATCTACGTCAGTGGGCCGGAATCTCTCAACCGCAAGCTTATAACTATTGTTTTTAAATGTTTATATTGTGTTTTTAAAATTTTGCTGTATTTATTGGAAATGTTGTAACCTGCCCTGAGTCTGTTAGCGGGATGGGTGGGATATGAATGCAAATAAATAAATAAATAAAATAATCAACATGGATTTTTTTAAAAAAAATAATAATAATATTTCCCCCCCCTTGAAAAGGGACAAGAATTTTTCTCCCAAGTTCAACGAGAAGGACGGGAAAGTGGAAAGGAAGAGCCAGAACGGCACATACGTGGTTGAAAACGGAAGGCCCAGGTATTGGTCACTCTGTGCGTGTGAATCTTTCAAGGCGTAAGATTTTGGCACGGAACTCAGCGGCAAGAGCCCTCAGGGCTGTCTGAATAGTCAGAGTGGACACCGGAAGTCGTATCAGTGAGTTTTCAAGATAAAGCTGTCATAACACTCATGTGAGCTTTGTTGTCTGACACTTAACGCAAGAGCACCAGAGGATCCCTTGCAGGCGTGCCCTGAGATGGGTCTTCTTGTTCCATGAGCCTGGAGCATTATGGCCCTAGTGCTGCAAACCTTGGCCTTTCAGAGAAACCTTTCCCTTGGGAACACTCTCCTTGATACGGCATCCATTTTAAATGAGTGTCGGTACATTTTTTTGTAACAATAAGACAGGCTGTTTGCATCTACTCCCCACCACTTGTTTCTTGTCAGATCATCAGTATGAAATGGGACATCTTGTTAGTAAGCTGTGAATGAAACCAAGGCACATCCTTGGCATCTGTGTTAGGTAATTTCTTAGTGCTGGTTTTATCTCCAGAGCCTTGTCCTTATGACATATCACAGATTGCTTTTGAAATGCCCCATCCATTTTGAAAGCAGTTGGCCATGTGCAAAGGGAAGTTGAGACACGTATACCTAAATGCTTATCCGGACAGGAGGACTTGAGTATAGCACAAGCCTTTGGATCCCAACCAAAAATTCAACAACTCTAACATCAGCACCTCTTTCAGGAATCCAGTGGGCAGAACAGGAATAGCTGGTCGGGGTCTTTTGGGGCGTTGGGGGCCCAACCATGCTGCAGATCCTCTGATAACTAGGTGAGTGACACCCTTGCCTTTGTTTTCTCCCCCTAAGCCTCATCTCTAGTGTTTGCCCATGTTCCCTTCCATTCAGACTTTCCCTCCTCTGGCTTTTCACACGTTACAGTGAACGCACATACATCCTGCCTGTACATCATGCATACATCTGTTTGTAAAAAAAAGAGCCAGTGTGTCTTCACTTTATGAATGAAACTGGGGACCAGTATCTGGATGAATGTGGAGTTTGTATTACACATTAAGCTGTACATGTGTTGATTGTAACATGAGAATTACTGAATGCTCATATGAAGAATAATCAAGTGTACACTATATGTGGATTATACATACATTCACTGTAACTTGCAAACAGGGCTACTGTCTCTTTTAGATTGTAAGTTCTTTGGGGGCAGGGGCTTGTTTAATTTTTTCCTATTATTTAACACCTTAACATTCCACCTCTCCTGGAAAACTCTCCATAATGCGCCCACAGTGGCTTCCAATCAGACTGAAAGAGCACCATCATCAATAAAAACAAGGCTAATCAGAATAAAAGTAATTACAATACAGTACAGACAGCACATGATTAAAATGTGGAAATTGCTGCCAGAGGATGCGGTGATGAGCTTTAAAAGGGGATTGGATAGATTCATGGAGGATAGATCTGTCAGTGGCTAGTAGCCATGGTGATTAAAGAGGAACCGCCACATTCAGAGGCAGTCAGCCTCTGAATCCCAGGGCCAGGAGTGAACATCAGGGGAAGGCCTCAGCCCCTACGCCTTGTCCTGTTGCTGGATCTCCCAAGGAACTGGTTGGCCACTGGGTGACATAAGATGGTGGACTAGATGGACTACCAGTCTGATCCAGCAGCGCTCTTCTTATGTTCTTATGACAGCAGAAAAGTCTCTCTCTCATGGCAACCCTCCTCCTTTTATTTGGAGGAGGGCCACAGGCAAGAGAGCCTGTGATGATGATGATCTCAATGTACCTGCAGGAAGGAGCAGTCCTTTAAGTAGCCTGGTCCCAGACTGTATAGGATTTCAGAAGTCAAAATTGACCCTGTGGATTGGGTCCAGTGTAGATCTTTTTAAAAGCAGAGTGATGCACTGGTGGTAACTAACTCCAGCTGACATGTGGGCAGCCATGTTCCGAACCAGTTGATATTATCAATACCAGCCTCTGCCTTGGGTCCACCAGAGGATTTCTGCAGATGGAAGGGATTTCCATCTGCAGCGGGACTTCAGCACCTCACTTCTCTCACTGCAGCCCAAAATATCTCCAGTGGCTTTGCCTGCTATACAAGGAGTCCCCAGGAACAGCGTGTGTGTGTGTGTGTGTGTGTGTGTGGGGAGGGGCTTCTGTGGGTGGTGCTGTGTTCAGTGAGGGTGCCTGCATAAGCAGCAGTAATAATATGCCAGATTATGTAGTCATTTTAGTAGCAAACTATACCTGTGGGAATGTTTTTCTAAGGTCCCTTTTCATCCTCACTCGTTTCGTTTTTTGCTCCCTAAGCCACTCATTGGAGCTGCGGTGGCTCAAGTGGTTAAGACGCTGAACTGCAGGCTGTGGAAGGTCAGTAGTTCAGCAGTTCGAGACCCGGGTGCCGCATGACGGAGTGAGCTCCCGTCTCTAGTTCCAGCTCCTGCCAACCTAGCAGTTCAAAAGCAAGAAATTGCAAGTAGATAAATAGGTACCACTTCGGTGGGAAGGTAACAGCGTTCCGTGCGCCTCTGCGTTTAGTCATGCCGGCCACATGACCATGGAAACGTCTTTGGACAGCGCTGGCTCTTCGGCTTTGAAACGGAGATGAGCACCGCAACCCTAGAGTCGGATTCGACTGGCTTTCGAGCAAGGGAACGTTTACCTTTAAGCCACTCATAGAGCCTCTCTTTGCTGAGCAGGAATTAGAACCGAGGTTTCCTATGTTCAAACCCAACACTGTATTGTACGGTGCTATTATTTCAGATCACTCTTTTTGTTCTCTCCAGTTTTCATTTTCCTGGAATTATTTGGGCTAACCAATTGGGGTGGGGGGAATCTCTTTTTCTTGGCACAACTTCCAGGTGGAAGAGAGACGGCAGCAGCAATAAGGTGGCTCACCCATCTTCTGGCAGAAACATCTTGCAGTTCATCGCCATCAAGAGGAAAGACTGTGGGGAATGGGCCATCCCAGGGGTGAGCAACAGAAGCCTTGCAGAATTGGCTTTAGTGGGTAGGAGGAGTGGGCGGGAGAGAAAATAGGCTACAGTTTCAAAACTCTGGGTATGTTCTGCTGGTGTCTTTCTTGATAAGCCTTTGGTAAGAGTAGACTCTAATGTGTGGTTGCAAAACAAAGGCAGAGCTCAGTAGCAGGCTATCATGTCCCCTTGAGTGTGAGTTAATCCTCCCCTTTCGATTGTGAAACATTTCCTGTGCTAATCTGGTTGAAAGTTACTAGAGAATTACAGGCCTAAAATGAGTGAAATGCCTTGTAGGAAGAGATAAATTCAAACTGCTGTTTTACTAAGGCCAGGCAGTGTGCCCTTGACCTTCCCCTGGGAAACTGCCTGCATCCCAGGGGAATAGTCGGAACTCATCACCTTGCCTTGAGAAGCTAATAGCTCAATTGTGTCCCTTCCTTTAGCCTTTGCAGTGTAAATGGATGTGTGCATAGCAGTCCTGGGCACCTCTGTGCTCTGGTTCTGGGCCTTCCTCATACCTTAGGGTGGTGTCCAACCTGTCAGTGGCAGCTCTGTCCCTGCCCTGCTGTGGAAATGCTTTCTTACCTCTGCAAAGCAAGAAGCAGCAGTGGCTGTCGGGGGGGGGGGCTGCAGATCACCACGGCCTGACTGGAAGCGTTTGCAGGAGGGGTGGGAGGTCACTGTCTCCTCCGGAGGCGGCATCAATGTCCTGGCCCTTTAAAGGGCTTGCTGCCTGCAGCTCAGTTGTCCAGCAGCAGTGAGGAAGCAGGGGAGGAGCTGGCTGGCTGGAAAGCAGCCGTAGCTGCAAGGGAAGTCCCGTTGTTGAAGGGACTCCATTCCTGGGAGGCAGGAGGTTCAAACAGGGCATGTGCAGCTGGCAAAGGCTAGGCACTGGCTGATGAGGAAGCACCCAGCTCTTCACTCCTGGGCTTACAGGAGGAAGGTCAAAGGGAGCAGAAAAAACCCAGGTTGCCTTACTCAGCCCCTTTCCTCTCCTTTTGAGGCCACTGGGCACCCTTACCATTGAGCCAGGGTCACTGGACGAGCAGTGGAGGACCTCCCTTGCTTAGTGTGGACCTGTCCCCCATCCACTGGCATAGGATATCTTGCTTGGGCTCTAGTGTGGAGCAGAACGTAGGAGGCCTGTTCTGTGGCCCAGATCTCATCTGGCTCCTCCGCTGTTGGGCTCCGTCAGCAGCCAGCTGGTCTGCAGCTTAGCAGGAGAGAGGGCAAAACCTCCTCCATCAGCCTAGCTACTACCAGTCCTACCATCAGCAGCTGGCAGTCTTTAGAAGAGGGAGAAAGAGGCAGCCGGGTCCCTTGTATTGGTCCGCTGTCACTCGCTTGGGTTTCATGTTTTTTTTATTAGTTGGATATAGATAAAGAAAGAAATTGGGCAATTTTTCTTGGGGGGTGGGAGATGCAGATGCAAGAAACGGTGTGTTTTTATGGCTCTCCTTGGGCACCATAGCCAACAAAGTGTACTGCTGACAATTGGTGAGACCATACCCAAATGACCTACCTCCCCTTGGGGGAAAACCTACCTTTGTCAAAAACAATTAGAATATTTGAGGTCTCTGGTACTTTTGCAAACAACAACACCTTGTCCAAGGGGTCAGAGCATCAGCTGCTGCTGTGTGGGAACAGAACACTTTGCAAATACGCATCGCACTTGATGGATCCTCTCTTTCTAGGGCATGGTGGACCCAGGGGAGAAATTATCCGCTGCTCTGAAACGAGAGTTTGGCGAGGAGGCTTTGAACTCTTTGCAGAAGTCTGGTGCCGCTAAAGAAGAGCTGGAGAAGCAGCTGAACAGGCTTTTCAGTCAGGATCATTTTGTGGTGAGTTAGCCTGTTTGAGCCCGTTAAGCATGGCAGACAAAGGGCAACGGCGCTGTCTTTAGAATGCCTTGCAGGCTACTGAAGCAGTGAGTCCTGATCCGCAGCCTTCCCTTTCCAGGTATATAAGGGGTATGTGGATGACCCCCGTAATACAGACAACGCGTGGATGGAGACAGAAGCAGTAAACTACCACGATGAATCTGGTGAGTAATAGAAGTGGACTCCCTTTGTCAGGCAGTTCTGTATGTACTGAAGTGTCGTCAAGTCGCAACAGACTTATGGAGACCCCAGCGAGGGGTTTTAAGGCAAATGAGAAGCAGAGGTGCTTTGCCATGGCTTTCCTCTGCCGAATCTTCCTTGGCAGTCTCCTGTCCAAGTACTGACCCTGCTTAGTTTGCAAGATCTGACAAGATGGGGCTGTACCATGTCATGTTCCCTACCCCCATCAGGCATTGGAAGCTTAAAACCTATTGACAGTGGAGCCATTCGTAAGTGTTCTTTGTTCAGCTGCTGAGACATCTGTGGTTATGGGAAACGGGTGGCAGAAAAAAATATTTAATAGGCTGTTGTCCTATTTATGTGTACACGATGCTGGAAACTGTAAAAACCCAACATAGTCAAAACTGAAACGTTTTATTCAGGTGGGTGGCCGTGTTGTTCTGAAGCAGCAGAGCATAGCTTGCGTCCAGTGGCACCTTTAAGACCAGTAAAGTTTTATTCTGGGTATGTATTTATTCTGGTTATCCCCAGAATAAAACGTTGTTGGTCTTAAAGGTGCCACTGGACTCAAGCTTTGTTCTGAAACATTTTATGTTAACTCTGGTTCTGTTTAACGCCTTACTGCTTGTGGGATTGTTTTTCGAAAAAGCCAGATCCTGCTTTCTGTCAACTGCAAACATTCTTCAGACAGTATTGTCCTTGTGCATGTACTGCTAAATGTTCGGCCCTGGTTACTTGTGGGGTAAGATAGGGCATCAGTCAACAGGGAATTTCTTTCATAATAGAGTGTTCAGTGCAAAGAACGTATTTTACCTTTGCACTCTGTAGTGGAAACAGATATGGGTGCAAGTCGTGATGAATGAAATAAGTGGAGGGTGTAAAGGTAAAAATTTTCCAACTGATGACGATCATGTCTCTTTGTTTACCAGGGGAAACCATGGATAACCTGCCCCTGGAAGCCGGGGATGATGCTGGGAGTGGATGACCCCCGTAATACAGACAACGCTTGGATGGAAACAGAAGCAGTCAACTACCACGATGAATCTGGTGAGTCATAGAAGTGGACTCCCTTTGTCAGGCCGTTATGTATGTACTGAAGTTGTCGTCAAGTCGCAACAGACATATGGAGACCCCAGCAAGGGGTTTTAAGGCAAATGAGAAGCAGAGGTGCTTTGCCATGGCTTTCCTCTGCCGAATCTTCCTTGGCAGTCTCCTGTCCAAGTACTGACCCTGCTTAGTTTGCAAGATCTGACAAGATGGGGCTGTACCATGTCATGTTCCCTACCCCCATCAGGCATTGGAAGCTTAAAACCTATTGACAGTGGAGCCATTCGTAAGTGTTCTTTGTTCAGCTGCTGAGACATCTGTGGTTATGGGAAACGGGTGGCAGAAAAAAATATTTAATAGGCTGTTGTCCTATTTATGCGTACATGATGCTGGAAACTGTAAAGACCCAACAGAGTCAAAACTGAAACGTTTTATTCAGGTGGGTGGCCGTGTTG